CATGGACATATACACACTAACAAACATAGTAAGGTAGATAGCTAGTGGGAAGCAGCCGCATGGCACAGGGATATTGGCTCGGTGCTTTGTGACAGCCTTGAGGGGTGGGATAGGGAGGGTGGGAGGGAGGGAGACGCAAGAGGGAAGACATATGGGAACATGTCTATGTATATGTATAACTGATTCACTTTGTTATAAAGTAGAAACTAACACACCATTGTAAAGCAATTATACCCCAATAAAGATGTTAAAAAAAAAAAAGAATAAGGAACAGAGAAAAAGAAAAATCAAAAGAAAATCTTGGGTATAATCCAACAAAACATAGAGAACTTATATGCTGAAAACTACAAAACACTGATGGAAAAAAAATCAAAGATCTAAATAAATGGAGAAATACCGTTTTCACAGTTTGGAAGATTCAACATAGTAAAGATTTCAATTCTCCCCAAATTGACATATGTTTAATGCAAGTCCCATTAAAATCCTAGCAACATTTTTCTGTAGATATAGAAAAGATTTGGCTGTCAACAGGAATGGCAAAGGAACTCTGAAAATCCTCTCCTCCAGAAAGTAATGAAAACATTGACAAAAATTATCAAAATTAACTCTTTCAGAACTCTGGAATTTAACCAAAGGCTTTTCAACAAGCCAGAGAGCATTTACTCAAGAAAAATGCTCGAATCTTGGTAAAAGCAACAAGCTTTGTGGTGTTTTGAATATGCCCTATTCCTATTCCCCTCTCCTCAGTTCCTTGGCAGCCTTGAAAACCAACAGCCCACAGTCATAGTGAAATCAGCAGCCTAGGAGCTACGGGAGAGATCACAAAGCTGGAGAACTTTCACATTCTCAATCTCAGAGAACTATCATTATCTGATCTGTCTGGCAGTTTCCAGGAAAACCTTACTTGCAAAGCTTGTCTCCATTTGACCTGACTCCATAGCTTGCACACTGCAAAAGACCCTTTTCCTTGGAGGAAGCTGTCAAAAACAATCAGTGGCAATTGTTTAACGACAGAGCTGCCTGGTGTGAGATAAAAGTGTGGCAAACAATAAGCTAACCAAAAAATTTAAAAGAAAAAGCTGGAGAATACGATGCCCATAGGAAGTTTTGGTAGCTCCTGGGAATCTAGAAGGTCAAATGCATGCTTGAGTTAGGACTGTGCATGCCCAAGGCTGTATGCATGCCCTAGAAAGAGCTGAGGAGGCCCTTATCTCTCACAACATTCTGTGCAAATAGGAAGTGAAAGCTGAAACAGAGTTGTAAACTAGCAGTGGAACTTAACCAACACTTTCAACAATTCAGGGAGTATTTGAGGACAGAATCTTGGTGGAAAGTGAAAACAATGCCTGGCTGAGTGTTGAAGGTGTGAACCAACATACATTCAGAGACCCTCAACAAACACTGGGAGATATACTAGATTGGGAGACATTATAGTCATTTGAGAAAATACCTGTCCAATAATTAGCTGACCATTAACTAACTGAGCAGAGACTTCAGTAGTCACATATGACAAAGAATACAGAATTCACAGAGTTAGGAAAGTAATTAAAAAAAAACAAACAGTAACAACATCATCAGCAAACAAAAATAACACAAGCCTGGGTTAAAGGAGGACATCTGATTTCAGAGTTGCCACATCCTGCTATTTAAACTTCATAGTTTCAACAAAAAATTAAAACACAGTCAACAAAACAAGAAAGTATAACCCATACACAGGAAAAAACAGCAGTCAACAAAAAATGTCCCTGAGGAAGCCCAGAAATAGTTACAAAATAATGACTTTAAGATAGCTATTTTAAATATGTTCAATGAACTAAAGGAAAACATGTCTAAGGAAAAGAAAGTAAGAGAACAATGTCTTATTGAATAGAGAATATCAATAGAGAGAGAAATTATAAAAAAAGAGTCAAGTAGAAATCCTCAGTTGAAAAGTTCAGTAACTGAAATAAAAGATTCACTAGTGGAGCTCAATGGCAGATTTGAACATGCAAAGCAAAGATTAAGTGAGCTTGAAGATAAGTCAATTGAAAGTATTCAGTCTGAGGAACAGAAAAAAGAAAAAGAAAAATAAATAGAATGTAGGACACCATTAAATATATCAAAATATGTGTAAAAGGAGTCTCAGAAGGAGAGAATAAAAAGAAAGCAGGAAGAATATCCGAAGAATAATGACCCTAAGCTTCCCAATTGTGATGAAGAACATTAATCTACACATCCAAGAAGCTCCATTAATTCCAAGCAGGAGAAACCAAAGGCGACTCACATCTAGAAATTACATAGTTAACTGCTGAAAAGAAAAGGAGAGAATTTTGAAAGCAAGAAGTAACTCATCATGTACAAAGGATCCTCAATAAGATTAATAGCTGATTCCTCATCAAAAACCATGGAGGTCAGAAGGCAGTGGATGTTATATTCAAAGTACTGAAAGAAAACCAAGAATTCTATACCCAGCAAAACTATCCCTCCAAAAGAAAGAAAACTTAAGACATTCTCAGATAAACAAATATTGGTAGAATTCATCATTAGTAGACCTGCCCTACAAGAAATACTAATGCAAGTCTTTCAGAATGAAATGAAAGGACACTAGACAGTAACTTGAAACTACACAAAGAAATAAAGAGCACCAGTAAAGGTAACTACATATGTAAATAAGAGATAGTAAAAATGTATCTGTTGTTTGTAACTCTTCTTTTCTCCTATCTGATATAAAAGACAACTGTTGTGGTATAATAAAAAATATATATTTGGTTTTTTGTCCCCAGTTCCTGGCTCAGAGGTCTTAAAAACCTTAGAATTCCCTGAGTGACAGAAGTGTCTTTTGTTATTCACACTAAGCCCCTTTTGCAGATACCTGATTTTATGCTAATAAGACGAATCTTGGCAGGGTCCCTATACAGCTTCAGAATAGAGACTGATTACCAGAAGAACCAACCACATGATTAAGGGGTTGGAACTTTCAGCCTCACCCCCTGCCCTCAAGGAGTAGAGAGAGGCTGGAGATTGACCTCACTCACCAACAGCCAATAATTTAATCAATCATATCCAGGTAATGAAACTCAATAAAACTCTTGAACAACATGGTTATGGAGCTTCTGGGTTAGTGAATATGTCCATATGCTGGGAAGGTGGTGCACCCAGAAAGGGATTAGAAGCTCTGCACCACTCTAATCCCCATACCTTGTGCTATGCACCTCTTTCATTTGGCTGTTCCTGAGTTGTATCCTTTATAATAAACAGGTAATTGTTAAGTGTAACATCTTCCTGTATTCTGTGAGTCGTTCTAGCAAATACTGAACCTGAAGTTGGCGGTGGAGGGGGGTTGTGGGAATCCCTGAATCTGTAGCAAAGTCAGAGAGAAGAGTAGGAAATCTGAGGTCTGGGGAATTGAGACTGGCATGTAAAGCCAGGACTATCTTGTGAGACTGAGCCATGAAATTGTAGAATCTGCTTTAATTCCAAGTAGTTAGTATCAGAACTGAATTGAACTTTAGGACACAAAGTTGGTGTCAGAGAATCACACAATTATTGCCACAAAAATGAAACTATATAAATAATTATAAAACTATGTTGATAGGCTTATAATGATTAAAAATGTAACTGGTATGATAATAACACAAAGGAAGGAGAAGGGAATGGAGCTATATGGGAACAAAGTTTGTATACTACTCAAGTTCATATTAATATGAAATAGATTATCATAAATTAAGATGTTATTTATAATTCTAAAGGCAGTCACTAAAAAAATAGCTCAAAAAATACACAGCAAAAGAACAAGGGAATTAAAATGGTACAATAGAAAATATTTAACACAAGAATAGCCTCTGCTCGCCGCAATTAGAGAAAGCCTACACACAGCAATGAAGACCCAACACAGCCAAAAATAAATAAATGCACAAATAAATAGAATATATGAAATACTGTTTCTCTATGGCTTAAAAACTTTCAAAGCCTTCTTATAGTTTCTCACTGCATTTACAATCAAATTCAAATTGCTTTCTTTTTTCTTCAAGGGTCTACCTAACATAGTCTCTGGCTACTTCTCATATCTGCTACTTTTCAGGAACAATACACTTGTCCCCTGGTATCCTCAGAGGGTTAGTTCCAGCACCTCTCCATTCCTCCCTCGTCTACAGCTACCAATATCCACAGATGCTCAAGTCTCTTACATAAAATGGCATAGTATTTGCATACAACCTACACACATCATTATTATGGGATGCAAAGGTACATCATTATTGTAGTTTTAAAGCTGTACGTAAGACATACTTTGTTTTTATTGTATGCTTTTACTGAGTGATCTATTCCCCATCCCAAAGCAAACATGAAAAAATATTACATTAAATGTAAAAAATAAAAAAAAAATCATCTCTAGTACAATGTAAATGCTATGTAAAAAGTTGCTGGTGTATAACAAATTCAAGTTTGGTTTTTGGAACTTTCTGGAATATTATTTTTCCCAAATATTTTTGCTTAGTGGTTGGTTGAATCCACAAATGCAAAATCCATGGACATGGAGGGCCAACTACATTAGACCCAAGACACTGAGGCAGACTGTCAAAGTGCTAAGGAAAAAAAAATTTGTAATTTAGAATCCAATATCCAGCCATATTAATATTCCATAGTGACTGCAAAGAAGATAGTTTGCAACATACAGGGACTCAGAAAGTTTATCACCCAAAGAACGTCTCTAAAACACCTACAGAAGATAGCCAGTAAGAAAAAAACCCCCAAAATTCCTACCTCTTCAAAAGAAAGAATCATAAGAAGTGTAATATAAGCAGAAACATGATCAAATAAGCCAATAAATATATTAAGTCTAAATAAATACAGATAGTAGAAAATAACATCTTAAATAACTGACAAGTAAAATTTCTGATGACACTGGCATGAAGAGGAGGAAAAAGAAATAAAAGCTTGCTAAGATTCTGATCTTAATTAAGTAGAATGAAAATACTGATTAACTTTTTTTATTAAGAAAAATATGTTATTTAAACTTCAAGAGTAATCAGTAGAATAGGCTTAGAATATATAACTTTAGGGAAAAAAATGGAATAAGAAAACCTTGATCAACAGCAACAGAAAGTAGAAAGGGGAATAGGAAGAATCAAACAAAAAGCATAGGAAGTAGAAAACAATGGTAAATGTGAACTGGTTAAACTCCTTTACTGTATGAAAAAGTGTCTCTCACACCAAACTGAAAAAATTACAAAGCAAAACCCAGTATATGTTATTTACAGCAGATAAAATAAAAACATGATGCAGAAAGAACAAACAATAAAGCTTTAAAATCTAGAAAGCAAGAACTAATACAATTACAAGGAAAAATAGACAAATCTACATTCACAGAAGGTACTGATACTTTAAAATGGATGTCAGGTTGGTAAGAAAAAAAAATAAGTAGAACATTTGCATAATTATAGTAAGCTTGATATATATATAGCTATATATCTATATTTATATGTATAAAAAACCACCCCTAAAGACAGAATACATTCTTTATGAATGTATGAAGAACACATACAAAACCAAATATAAAAGTCCAAAAGAGGTTTCCAAAAATTCTAAAATAAAGTCATAAAGGCCACATTTATTACTCATAAAGCAATATAACTGGAACTACATTTTTTAAAAAGCTTAAAAATTCCATATCCAAGTAAATTGAAACAGTAAGAACTCCTATGTAAGCTTAAACAAAAATATTTAAATGAGAATTATAAAATCTTAAACAGAAAAGCAGTACATATCACACATATGAAATGTATAACCAAATGATAACCAGAAAAAAATTTATACCCTAAAATGTATTAAAAATTAAGAAAGGCTAAAAATTCAAGAACTTACGAAAGTGACAAACTGGCAATTATGATAAGGGAAAAAAAGAAAACATTGGTTTTAGGAGTACTAAACTACTTAAAAGGTTGGCATAACACTAAAAAAAAAACAGTTAAGGATGGAATAAAATAAAATTTTAGGTCAATCTCAGATGGTGCAAAACAATCCTAAAAAGAAGATTTTCTATTTGAATCCAGGAACATATTAAAATACCAAGTAAGATTTATGACAAAATGCAAGGACGGTTCAATGTTAGACAACCTATCAACCTAGTATTCCCGTTTGGGGTTTTAAAGGTGAATCTTTGTGCCTTTTTCCTTCTAAACTCTAACTAAATAACAGAAACGGAGCAAAAAGGGCTCAATCTCACAAGAACAAAAGGAGTAAGGGAGGAGACATCAATAACTGGAGATTTCAATAAATACTCAGAAGAGTAAATGTAGTAGAGGGACAACTAATTTAGCAGCCTATTATAGGAACCACAGTGTAAAGGGTGAGTGAAAGAGAAAGAAACAAGAAAAGAACTGACTCTTCTTAAAAAAAAAATATCCTGGAGACTTAGAACTAGGAAATATCAAGTAAAAAGACATTAATATTAAGTAAGATTTTTATGGAAAATGTTATTTTACATTGGGGAAAGTAGAGTGCGGCACTGGGAGCTACTTCTGAGTTCTGCAAGTTGTTTAATTTTGTTGAGTCTCTATTTCTCTACCAGGTATTTGGACACAATGGTGACTGCCCTGTACATACTTTAGAGGGATTTAGAGAAAGGAGATTTTGCTATAAATACATTATTGTTGAGCCTTCCAAAGTAAATTAAAAAAAAAAAAAAAAGAGAGAGAGAGAAAGACACACACACCCCACATAGAGAATTACCCCTACCAACCCTACACTACCCTCCTACCCCAATGCCTTCACACCACCTCTATGCACACACCTTGAGCACTAACGCTAGCAAGCAAGCTTCTGTCATGAAAATGTGAGGTTTATTCTCTGGAGAAGTTAAATGAGAGAGGATTGGAACTTGAAGATAAAGGCATAGGAAAAGGGGTAAGGCTGAAAACTGAGAGATTAACGTCATGCTTTAAACACCAGGAATGCTTCAAGACATGCATCTATCCCTAAGAAAGGTAATACAAACTTTAGTTTCTGAATGGTCCTGGAGAACAGAACCCCAAATACATTTTGGGATCTGTTAGCTAAAAAGCCCACTTTCTTGTCCAATTATCCTAAAATAATTTTGTCATCAAGTCCCATCCATGCACAATGGATTTATAATCAGCTTTTTTAATACCCAACTCTTAATATAAACAAACAACAGAATAAATCCCTTATAATTTAATTTCTGCTATTAAGATAACTAAATCCAACTTTACCATCACCCTATTAAATACATATCTATTGCACCCTATAATGCATATCTATGAGTAGTTTAGAGCCATTTTCCCCATTTATCCTCCGTGCAAGTGCTATACTTCCAAAGCTTAGTTCCCCTCACAGATTAAGATAAGAAATAGAGAATGAGGAGGATCTCAGACAATTCCCAAACAAGAAGGTGTCTCATAATCTACACCTGAACACAAAAGTTAGGGCAAATTAACATAACAAAAATTTCAATACAAGATCTTACATGTTTATCTTTCCTTTCTATAACATCTTGCTTTTGTTTGCATTTTTGAGATGTCTCCTTAATATCTGTTGCCTGTAAGATTGAACCAGAAGAGGGGAAGTTAGTTAAAAATTCACGCAAGGCAATTATGTGACCCCACTCATCCAAATATTAAGTTGCTATGTAAGTTTACCCACAATGATTTTCTATGGTTTCTTTCCAACTAAATTCATAATTATCACCCAAAATACCAACAATTATTTGAAAATCTATGAAAGGTTATTCCTACAGATATTAAAAATAGCTGCAGCAATATGTATACATATGTTTCTGTATCTCTTCACATTTATTTTCTCATGTTATTTTATCCTAGAAACGATTACACAGAATTGCAGGGTCCATTCTCAAAACAATATCTGACGCCAAAATCTCACCTAAAGGTTAAAAGCCATGATCACAAAAAATTTCAATTTACATTTTCAAAATATCAAGAATATTCCATAGGCCATTATATTATTTATTCCAAGAAACATCAGGATTTTTATATTACATTCCTCCAAAAGGGTATATAGTTACAAAGCATGTATAATAAATTCACAAAAGGAGTTAAACGTTTCTAGGAATACTACTCTGAATCCTCCTGTTATTAAAACAATAACATTTCATTTTTCTCTTTTTATGTCTTGGAATTTCTATAGAGTAGCAAGCTCCTATAAAGTAGCAAGTGATGATTAGGACCTTGAAAGATCTGTGGTAGTAGAATTCCTAGTAAAAGAACTTAAGGAACTAAAGTTAACAAGTAAATCTATAAAGCATTTTAAAAGACCTGCAAAATATTTTTTGTATTTGCTAAAATAAAATACAGGAAATCCAAAATTGAACCAGAAAAGTACCTTCTCTTTGATTCGAGCCTCCAAATTGTGACGCTGCCTTTCAATTTCTTCAATGCGTCGTGTTATAGGAATCTGCCCTTCTTTAAGTTTCCTGACCTCTTCCTTCGCTCGGTCCCGAGCTAGTTTTACTTCTTCATAGTCCTGACGAACATTTTCATATTCCTTGTAATGAATTCAAGAAAGAGAAGTTAATGCACTCCTAGCTTAAAGTAACACAAATACAAAAATCAAGGTACAGGCAGAAACCAAATCTATGAAAAAGATGGTTTTGAATCCCTTTAGCAGGTCTATTAATAAAAAATTTGCCCTCTGAAACAACTTCAGAAATAGTAAATACCAACATAATGATTAACTCAGTGATACTCACTGAGCACTTATCTCTATCACTAGGCCAGACTCTCTGTCTTCCATCCCTTCCTGTTATTGAAATTTACATCCTAATGGCTTCTAACAGTAGGACCTCCTCTAGTCTCTCAATAAAGAAGGCATTCAAAAACATATAAAGAACGAAAAGAAACTCAGTTATGAAAAATAAAAATGAAAAAACAAAAAGTAAAATGGCTCAAGAGAAAAGCAAAATGTAGCATGCAGGTGAAAATGATGCTTGTCACATCACAGGAATTAATAAATATTTGCTAAAAAAAATTAAGGGGAGTGCTAAGAGAGCATATAGTAAGAATGAATGGGATGAAGAAAGGTAAGAAAAGAATACAAATAAAATTAGAGTAAACCAAAAAAAGGAAAAAATGAAAAAAGATTGAAATCAATCTTGAAAGAAAAGGGAGAAATCAAAAGACTTCAAAAGACAAACATAAAGCAGGTGCAAGAATAATAATGGACATAGGATAAACCTAATCAAAGTGAGCTGAAGGAAGAAAAAAGTTTAAGAAAATGGAATTATGGGAAAGGATAGGGTGAAGCAGGGGTGGTGGGGTTAGGGTGGGTGGGAGAAGTTCACAAATAAAGCCACATATTTCTCCAATCTAATAATTATTTCCATCCTAGCCTTAAAAACATTATTAGGGCTTCCCTGGTGGCGCCGTGGTTGAGAGTCCGCCTGCCGATGCAGGGGACACGGGTTCGTGCCCCTGTCCGGGAGGATCCCACATGCCACGGAGCGGCTGGGCCCGTGAGCCATGGCCGCTGAGCCTGAGCATCCAGAGCCTGTGCTCCGCAACGGGAGAGGCCACAGCGGTGAGAGGCCCGCATACCGCAAAAAAAAAAAAAAAAAAAAAACACCAAAAAAAAACATTATTAAACTTTCTTATTTTGTTTCACCCACTGAAAAGTAATGTATTGAGGGAAATGAATCTTTGGCCCAAACTGTGGTTTTAAACAGTATACATTACAGAGTGACTAAAAACAGTAGTTTCAGTAAGCTTATGAAGCATAATGAGTAGAAGATTACAATTAATATCCTTCAGCTTTGTCTGTAGCTGAAGCTGATATTAGTAGCACACTCAAAGTAAATTCTCAGTGACCTGAGGACACTCAAAGATTTAATTTTTACATATGTAAACATTTTAGCTGATTAACATTTTATAAAACAAAACTATCCGTTGACTCAAATCTGGAAAAATTAAGGACACAGACTTAATCAACATGCAATAACAACATAGCACACAGTTATATAATAACACAAAGAAAGAGAAAAATGTTACTGTGTATGATATACAAAGCAAAAATGAACAAAAGCACCTAATTTGAATACACAGCAATTAGTGCCTTCTTTCTGCTAATTAAAGAATCACTATTTTCACCTTTAATAACTCACACTTACCACCCATGGCCTTTTTGCTTCAAGCATCTCAATCAAATCTAAATGTCGCTTACGTTCATAGAACCTCTCCACATCTTGTTTATATCTTTCATTCCTCTGAATCATCTTCTCTAGATATTCAGTTTTCTCTTTGCATGAGGTCTAAAATAAATACTTATTTAACAATTAGTTTAACTGAAGAAAGACAAAAGGTCAAAGCTTTTAATAATGAAAAATGTACCGTGCTAACAAAATTTCACAATAAATGATTCCATAGGAGTTCTTAACTGTGTGCAACTAATGTGCACACCTGAATTCTGGTCTAGGTTCTACTATTTATTAATTATGGGACTGTGAGGAAGCCCTGCTACATCTCTAAGCCTGGATTCTTCTTGCCTAAAGAGAAGAGAGGTATCTGCCCCATTCACCTCAACGGTAGAAGCAACTCAACCTACTACAGGTGAAAGCTCAACAAAAGCTGTAACATGACATACAAATGAAGAGTGGTATTATTATGATTACTATGTTATAAATACCAATGACTGAAGGACTTAGAAATGAGATAAAGGAAAGCTAAAATTCAGCCTTTATATTGTGATTTAACAAATGCCAAAAATGTACTCAGAGCTTAGTAAAATACGTTTGTTTTCTTTCAGAGTTTGGTAGGTAGTTTCAGTGAGTGTTTCAGAGGGGAGTATTAAGATTGTTTGATGTGGCAAAAAGTAAAAGGACCGACAGAGTATATAAAGTAGGATAAAATAATTACAACTCCTTTGGCCATTCGCTCTGAATAAGTATAACAATAAAAATAGTATTAAATTATAATAAAGCTCATTATCAAGTACAGACAGTTACAGTTTAAGAGAAAGCATTTGTTTACAAGATTTCTCATTACAAAAATTTACTGAATTTATTTTAGCTGCTGAGATATGGAAAATGATTCATTAAATAAAGCACCTTTTCGAATGATATGCTAAAAAGAACATTTTAATTTATTTATTAAAGGTGAAAATAAAAATCAAACAGTGCAACTAAATGTACAGTTCTTTTACAAAGTCCATCCTCACACAACTGAAAACAATATGAGAACTGGCTCAACAGAGACTATATTAAAAGCTACATATCTGCTGTATTTCCCAAAGCCTTACAGAGTGCCTGGCATATAGTAGGTGTTTAGTAAATACTGAATGAATAAAAGAATAACACTGAAACCTCCTGAGAGAAAAAAAATACTTTATAATACTATTATCGGTTCTTTAGAACAGGGGTCCCCAACCCCCAGTCTGTAGACCGGTACTGGTCCGTGTCCTGTTAAGAACTAGGCCGCACAGCAGGAGGCAGGCGAGTGAAGCTTCATCTGCTGCTCCCCATCACTCGCGTTACTGCCTGAACCATCTCCCACCCCTCCCCCCGTCCGTAGAAAAACTGCCTTCCATGAAACCGGTCCCTGGTGCCGAAAAGGTTGGGGACTGCTGCTTTAGAAATTCAATTAATAACATATATTTGATGAAATGATAGTCAAAATTTTCAAACTTTATATAAAATCCATTCCCACTTTTTGTCACCTAACTTAATTAATGTTAGCAACAAAATCCTAGGTGAAAAAAAATCACAAATATATGAATGCACTCAATGAATCAAAACTACTATTTACTTTCCCACAGTTTGAGACACAGAAATCAATGAGAGACATAAAATGAGTTGTCTATTTATAAATACCTCTAGTTGTTTTTCTTTCTCCCTGAAGTTTTTGAGTTCACAGTGGTATTTGTGCATTTCTGGAGGACCAATTGACTTCTCAGTAGCTTCAAGGAGTTCAATTTTACTGAGTTTAGCAAATTCTCCAACTTTATCCTAGAGCAAAAAACTTAAATATCAGTTAATATTATCGTTTATAAATATCTTCAAAACATTTTTCATTCAATGATATTTGTCAAGAAGAAACTCATTTAAAAGAAAAAATCCTCTTTATTTTGAGATGTGAATCTTAATATAAACCCTGTCCTTCATATATCATTCTTTAAAATAATAAACTTAGGGTATAAACTGTCATCTTTTTGAGAACCTAAAAAAAATTTCAATGTCAACATTTCCAGGTTTTAAGTTTTATACACATTTAACAAATAGTTTGGAAAGAAAAGAAAAAATACTCCCCTGGACTGAAATGATTATCTACTACACATAATTTGGAATGAAATACTAGAAGTTAAAAAAAAAACACACAGAGCAATTTAAAACATCTACTTCTGCAGATAGTCTTGTAACAGCTGATAAATACTTTAAAATTTTAACTTTTCTTTCACTTGGACATAGTAATCAAATCATCAGTTTCTGAAGAAAAAAATGAACTATAATTCGGTCACTAGACTGCATTCAAAGACAAATTTAAAAGATCTGATTTTAACATATAACATGCAATATCAGGATGTTTTATTTTTACTAAACAAACTTAAAATATGAAAGGTTTTTAGAAGGCACACCTATAGATTTAAAAGTCTTAGTATATAAAATATTTTATATAAACACATTGATTAAGAAGTTGTTTATTAACAAAATTTTATGAGTCTATGAATGGGAGCACACAGCTGTTCAAGCTACTCTCTGTACTTAAAAATAATACCTTTATTTCCTTTACAATACTTTAACAGGCTCATTAATTGAATATTTACAAATTACTACAAATTAGTAAGATTATACTGTAAGAGATGAGATGCTACCTTTTACAAAGAACTGTAAGTATTAAGACCACTATGCTCATTTTAAATAGTAACCATTACAATACTCTTAAAAAGTATTTACATTCTTATATGACATAAAGAGGAAACATACACAAAATTTCCCCACATTTACATTTAATTCTCTCATACCTGAGGTAGAAACTGGCAAAGATTGCCCACTTGAATATTTAAGGCTGCAACCTGCTCTTCTACTACTTTCTGAGTTGTAGATTTTTTGTTGATGAACCAAAAGGACTGATTTTTTGCCACATCAATCTCACGAGTGATTACAAGATTTCCAGAAGTCCTGAACCTAGTTAAAAAATAAATTAAAAATATTTATACTCAAAATACATAATTTTAGAAATAAAATTTCTAAAATTCTCTTGCATCAAAGGTTGCCACATAGGATTATTATTATAATTTTTACTCCTTTTGACATTTTGGCCCCTCCAAAGAAGAAAAGCCTGACATTAGTGATAATACGTAACTGACCACCTGTAGGTTATTACTCTTTCAACATTTGAAATTATTTAAACTGTTAAAATAAAATTAAAACAAATGCCAATACTAATTCCCAAACACTGCCAGAGGAGTTATTTATCCTTTAATCATTATGCTACACTCCAATCACGTGTTGACTACAATTTTAAATGGGTTGGTATATAAAAGCATACAACAGTTAAACCTCGAAACTCTCTCTACTTGGAAAATGTATGAATGAAAACTAACTCTTACATATGCATTTCCAGACATCAAAACCAGCCTGCCCATACAGGTGGCCCATGGTTTCCTCATCTTACACTCCACCACTCTAAATTCAGAGGAGACTGTACCACATGACTATAAGGAACATTAAAAAATAGAAAATCTGAAAGAAGGGTATTTACTTATTTCTTGATTTAAAAGTACTACTGCTTCACATCTCCTATCTACTCATCCATCTTCTTCACTGGCAATCAGCAGCATGGAAGAAGACCTGGGACCACCAGAGAGACAAGGTGCCATTGTTTGGGTGTGTGTGAGGAGAGGGGTGGGACCACCATAGAAGCTCCTTTCTCTGCACGCGTTTTCAGGCGGCAGGGCACCACCTACAAGAGCTCCAGGGATGGGTGCGAGCCACCACTGCCATCTAGGACTCCAGAGATGGGCGTGGACTGCTGCCGCTACCAAGGGTCCCATGAGTGGATGCTGGTTGTTTCCCCCACCTCCTGGAAACATGCGCAGGCAGTGCACCTGCATAGCCCCTATCAAGGGATAACAGCCAGCACACGCTGAGGAAAGAAACGGCAAGCATCCAAACCAAAAGCAACCCTCATACCAAAAACATATTAAACCCACACAAGCTACACAGGGAAACTTCTGCCTATTAATAGCCCTCCAAGACTACAGTATATAATTGTGTATTTACACAGAGTAAGAGGGATATAAGGGAACCATTCCCAGTGAAAAGACCAAGAGAATTCCCCTGAAGGAACAATGAAACAGACCTCTTCAGTCTAACAGACACCAAGTTCAAAAAGAAGGTAACAAAAATACTGAAGGAATTAAGAAAGGCTATCAACAGAAATGCAAATTACTGTAAAAAGGAAGTAGAAACTATAAGGAAGAGACAAGAAAAATTAGAAAATTCATTTGCCGAGACAAAAGCTGAGCTAAAGGCAATGAAGAGCAGAATGAATAATGCAGAAGAAAGAGTAAGCGATCTGGAAGACAGAATAATGGAAATTACCCGATCAAAACAGCAGACAGAAAGCCAAATGAAAAAAAAAAAAAAGAAAGCAATATAAGAGACCTATGGGATAATACAAAGCATGCCAATCTACGGATAACAAGGATTCCAGAAGGAGAAGAAAGAGAAAAGGGGATTGAAAATGTATTTGAAGAAACTATGGCTGAAAACTTACCAAACCTAAAGAAGGAAACAGATATCCAGATACAGGAAAAAGAAGGTCCCAAAAAAGATGAACCCAAACAGACCTACATCAAGAAATATTATAATAAAAATGGCAGAACAGCACCGCTTAAAGGAGTTCCAGAGACGGGTGTGAGCCGCGGTTAAAAGCACGGACCCCAGAGACAGGCATGAGACACTAAGGCCGCTGCTGTGGCCACCAAGAAGCCTGTGTGTGAGCATAGGTCACTCTCCACACCTCCCTTCCAGGAGCCTATGCAGCCTGCCACTGCCAGGGTCCCGGGATCCAGGGACAACTTCCCCGGGAGAACGCACAGTGCGTCTCAGGCTGGTGCAACGTCCCGCTGGCCTCTGCCGTTGCAGGCCTGTCCCGCACTCCGTGCCCCTCCCTCCCCCCTGGCCTGAGTGAGCCACAGCCCCTGAATCAGCGGCTCCTTTAACCCCGTCCTGTCTAAGCAAAGAACAGACGCCCTCCAGCAACCTACACACAGAGGCGGGGCCAAATCCAAAGCTGAGCCCTGGGAGCTGTGCGAACAAAGAAGAGAAAGGGAAATCTCTCCAGCAGCCTCAGAAGCAGCAGATTAAAGCTCCACAATCAACTTGATGCACCTTGCATCTGTGGAATACCTGAATAGACAACGAATCATCTCAAATTGAGGAGGTGGACTTTGAGAGCAAGATTTATGACGTTTCCCCCTTTTCGTCTTTTTGTGAGTGTGTATGTGTATGCTTCTGTGTGAGATTTTGTTGGTATAGTTTTGTTTCCACCATTTGTCCTAGGGTTCAATCCATCCGTTTTTTGTTGGTTTTTTGTTTTAAAAAATTTTTTTTTCTTAATAATTATTTTTTATTTTAATAACTTTATTTTATTTTACTTTATCCTCCTTCCTTCCTTCCTACCTTCCTTCCCTCCCTCCCTCCCCCCCTTTAGACAAAAATCATCCCAAATTGAGGAGGTGGAATTTGAGAGCAAGATTTATGATTTTTTCCCCTTTTCCTCTTTTTGTGAGTGTGTATGTGTATGTTTCTGTGTAAGATTTTGTCTGTATAGCTTTGTTTTCACCATTTGTGCTAGGGTTCTATCGGTCTTTTTTTTTTTTCTTAAAAAAATTTTTTTCTTAATAATTATTTTAATAAGTTTATTTTATCTTACTTTTTCTTTCTCTCTCTCTCTCTTTTACTAATTCTTTCTTTCTACTTTTTCTCCCTTTTATTCTGAGCCGTGTGGATGAAAGGCTCTTGGTGCTGCAGCCAAGAGTCAGTGCTGTGCCTCTGAGGTAGGAGAGCCGACTTCAGGACACTGGTCAACAAGAGACCTTCCAGCTCCACATAATATCAAATGGTGAAAATCTCCCAGAGATCTCCATCTCAACACCAGCACCCAGCTTCACTCAACGACCAGCAAGATAAAGTGCTGGACACCCTATGCCAAACAACTAGCAAGACAGGAACACAACCCCACCCATTAGCAGAGAGGCTGCCTAAAATCATAATAAGGCCACAGACACCCCAAAACACACCACCAGACGTGACCTGCCCACCAGAAAGACAAGATCCAGCCTCATCCACCACAACACAGGCACTAGTCACCTCCACCAGGAAGCCTACACAACCCACTGAACCAACCTTAGCCACTAGGGACAGACACCAAAAACAACGGGAACTACGAACCTGCAGCCTGCAAAAAGGAGACACCAAACACAGTAAGATAGGCAAAATGAGAAGACAGAAAAACACACAGCAGATGAAGGAGTAAGATAAAAACCCACCAGACCTAACAAATGAAGAGGAAATAGGCAGTCTACCTGAAAAAGAATTCAGAATAATGATAGTAAAGATGATACAAAATCTTGGAAATACAATGGAGAAAAGGCAAGAAACGTTTAACAAGGACCTAGAAGAACTAAAGATGAAACAAGTAATGATGAACAACACAATAAATGAAATCAAAATACTCTAGATGGGATCAACAGCAGAATAACTGAGGAAGAAGAACGAATAAGTGAGCTGGAAAATAAAATAGTGGAAATAACTACTGCAGAGCAGAATAAAGTAAAAAGAATGAAAAGAACTGAGGACAGTCTCAGAGACCTCTGGACAACATTAAACGCACCAACATTCAAATTATAGGGGTTCCAAAAGAAGGAGAGAAAAAGAAAGGGACTGAGAAAATATTTGAAGAGATTATAGTTGAAAACTTCCCTAATATGGGAAAGGAATTAGTTAATCAAGTCCAGGAAGCACAGAGAGTCCCATACAGGATAAATCCAAGGAGAAATACGCCAAGACACATATTAGTCAAACTGTCAAAAATTAAATACAAAGAAAACATATTAAAAGCAGCAAGGGAAAAACAACAAATAACACACAAGGGAATCCCCATAAGGTTAACAGCTGATTTTTCAGCAGAAACTCTGCAAGCCAGAAGGGAGTGGCAGGACATATTTAAAGTGATGAAGGAGAAAAACCTGCAACCAAGATTACTCTGCCCAGCAAGGATCTCATTCGGATTTGATGAAGAAATTAAAACCTTTACAGACAAGCAAAAGCTGAGAGAGTTCAGCACCACCAAACCAGCTTTACAACAAATGCTAAAGGAACTTCTCTAGGCAAGAAACACAAGAGAAGGATAAGACCTACAATAACAAACACAAAACAATTAAGAAAATGGGAATAGGAACATACATATCGATAATTACCTTAAATGTAAATGGACTAAATGCTCCCACCAAAAGACACAGATTGGCTAAATGGATACAAAAACAAGACCCTTATATATGCTATCTACAAGAGACCCACTTCAGACCTAGAGACACATACAGACTGAAAGTAAGGGGATGGAAAAAGATATTCCATGCAAATGGAAATCAAAAGAAATCTGGAGTAGCAATTCCCATATAAGACAAAATAGACTTTAAAACAAGGACTATTAAAAGAGACAAAGAAGGACACTACATAATGATCAAGGGATCGATCCAAGAAGAAGATATAACAATTGTAAATATTTATGCACCCAACATAGGAGCACCTCAATACATAAGGCAAATACTAACAGCCATAAAAGGGGAAATCGACAGTAACACATTCATAGTAGGGGACTTAAACACCCCACTTTCACCCATGGACAGATCATCCAAAATGAAAATAAATAAGGAAACACAAGCTTTAAATGATACATCAAACAAGATGGACTTAATTGATAGTTATAGGACACTCCATCCAAAAACAACAGAATACACATTTTTCTCAAGTGCTCATGGAACATTCTCCAGGATAGATCATATCTTGGGTCACAAATCAAGCCTTGGTAACTTGAAGAAAATTGAAATTGTATCAAGTATCTTTTCCGACCACAATGCCATGAGACTAGATATCAATTACAGGAAAAGATCTGTAAA